ACACACACATACATTCATACACATAAATATAGAGTATATATACATATAACGTAACATATATACATATACTACATATTTATGAGTTATGAATCTGATCATTAGTTAAATAAAACTTATATAAGGAATAAAAATAGAATGAAATTAAATATTATTTTTATTATTATTTATTTTTAAAATGATTTTTGTTTTTTATATTTTATTAAAATACTTTATATTATATATATTGAATAAAATTTGAATAAAAGATCATTTTATTCAATATGTTTTCATTATTAAATGAATAAAGTAACAAGTTAAAAAATATAACATATTTTCATACTTAATATTGTATTATTATTTTATATTATATTGAATTACTGAAAAATGGCAATAAATGCAGGAACTTGTTGAACGGGGAAAGAGAAAGCTAATAGTGGGTCGTACGGCGGGGATAAAAGATGGCGGTCATAGAGGAAATGCACCTTTTTTATTTGTGAATAGGTTAAAAAAAAAACGCATTAATATGTACCTCACTTAAATTTATAGTTAAAATTTTCATACTAATAATTTTAAACATCATTATCTGTTGGTGTTTTTTCAACCATTTAAATTAAATAAAGTTTTATCAATATCATTCATAAATCTTAAGTATTTGTTATCTAAAATTTACATATTTTAAAAATATCTTTATAAAATCTATAATTATAATTAAAAAATAATTGAAATAAGTACAGTTTTAAATAGAAAATACTAAATGAAGAATCAGAGCATTAATGAAGAGAAAGAACAGAAAGAAAAAAAAAAAATAGAATTGGTGGAAGGAAGTCAAGGTTATATTGATTTCTATTTTCTACAATTCTCTATTAGAAGAGAACAAAAAAACATATTTTTTTAAATTTATATAATAATATTTAATTATTTAAAATTTATCTCATAAATAATTTTTAAATATAATAAATTTGAATAAATGAATTAATATATTTTTATATTTTATTACAAGAGTAATTAATTATCTTTTTTTTTTATTGTTCATTTTATTATTGTTTACTTGAATATATCATTTATGTCAGTTTTACAAATATGATAAAATTCATAAGTATTGAGAGGTTTCGTTATCGCAAGTGCAATTTTGTATTCCTTCTATTTATACTGTTATTTTATGATAAAATTTAATTTTGTTTGATGTAAAAATATATGCCACTAACAAAAGAGAATATAATTTCTATTTTTTTGATGTATTATTTTATTTTGATATATCTAAGGCATATTTGTAGATCTTTTTTATAATTTTTTTTTTTAAACATATTCATTGACTGTCATTTTTTACTTATAGAATATATTTATATTCCAAGCTTTCATATTATTTTTATTATGATCTTTTTTTAATGACAAACTTATATTATTTTTAACATAATTATTATTTGGTTACAGAATTTAGAATTTAAAAATCCTACATTGATACACATTTTTATTTATTTTCGAACGTTGTAATTTTTTTCACCTTAATACATGTATTAAATTCATCATCATTAATCTATATGGATTTGTACATATAACTTGTGCATGCCATGTTATCATTCTCTTCGTGACCTACGTATATATGTATATTTCACATAACGTTCTATCGCATGCGCATCATTCATAAAAGGGAAAAAGAGTAGGTAATACATGGGTGGGAGAAGATTTTAAAAGTGGGAGGAGGGGGGTCAGTGACCGTTACATCATCGAGAACTCAGTCTAGGAAAATTCATAAAGTCGCCATTTAATTATGAATATAGTTTTAAATGCGAGAAAGATAATTTAAACTTGAACAATTTATTAGAAGGAATAATATTTTTCATATGTAATAATATAATGATATAGACATTTTTATAATATATATTTTTTATTAATATAATATTCTGCTAGTTTCACTAATTTAATTCTTCTATTTTTAATCTTTTTTTAAATATATATGAATGATAATTATTAAAACTATTTATATTTCTGATAATATTTAAGATTTTAAGGATTTTTACAAAATACCCTAAAATATAGTTTTGAAAAGGAGAATATATATACCGTTATTTGTTTTGATATATAATTCAAAAGATTCAATGTCACATTATATTATAATGTAAACAATTGTCATATTATATCAAAATAATTAATCAATAAGAAATTTAAAAATTTTTTTAATAGAAAAATATTTGAAACGCAGATATTTAAGATGTAAATTCGTAGTAAAATATATTATAATGAATTATGATAATATTATAATTATAATGAAAATCAATAATTAAGTTATTAAACATATGAATATAAGCAATATTAAATATTTTTTTATATATAATAAAATATTTTTATTATATATTTATTAATATATTTTTAAAAAATTTCAAATTTAATAAATCTAGTAAAATATTAGTAAAAAATCTAGTTTGTCATATTCATGATAAAATGAAAATAAACAAAATAAATTTATACTCCATAGTGCAATTCTATAACAAATGCTTTAGAAATGTATATTAAGATTCTTTATTCTTATTTTGAGAAATAAAATTTGAAATAATTACATATAAAATAATTTGAATTTCCATAAAAAAATATGTATAGATAAATGCGATATTAGCTAACGTCGATTAATCCTTCTCCATTATCCGCCAACGAATAATGCTAGGAACGCTTCGAAAGCCTCGAATGTATTTGATGATATGGCAACATCGCGACAGCAACGTTGCCTTACGAAAGTAGACAGGCACATTCACCCTTTGTGATGTTCAACGCATGCGCAGTCATTCTATAGAGAATAAGTACCGATGCACCGGCACGCGGAACCATGATCTCTGGAACACTGCGACATCGCATATCGTTATATCTTACAGCGCATGCGTGGCGTATTTTGCCACATGTGACAAATTACCGCCGAAAGGTCGTGTATCTACTATTCTGCTATACATATGTATAGTCAATGATTTTACGTGAAGTATATTTTTATCGCGTGACGCGATTGGTTAGTCGATCGTCATCCGTCATCTTTTATATGCATTTATTTCTTGCTGTCTATCTTTTTATAATCTAATACATTAAATTTTTTCTTATTTTTTTTATAATTAAATACTTTTTTTTTTAGATATATATATTTAGATATATATATATAAACATATTTGATTTAGTAATCTTTTAATCTTTAGATTAAAAGATTGTTAGGTAATTTAATATCATTGATATAATTTACTAATCACTTTAATCTGTTTTAAATGATCAAAAGCAAATGAAAAATATTTCAACATAAATTGGAAAATTTTAAAATAGTAATGTAAATTATCACAAATATTGATATTTTTAATATATTTACAATTATCTGATTTATATTTGTATTACATATTCTAAACTTACATGTTCACTAATGTGTGATGGAACGAGTGATATTAAAAAACATATGATTCTTGATAGACTTCATGTTTAAAATGGTATATGAATAATTAAATTACTGTCTACGTTGCACAAATATTGCTGTCTTAAACATATAAGTAGAAGCCATGTCTTTACCATGGCTAAACATATTCTGAGAGAGAAATTTAATATTCTTTAAAAAATATTCCTAAATTGCTTCTTTCTATAATAAACTACTAACTTTTCATTTTTTTATTTTATATGTTTGCTTATTTATCAAATAAAAATATATAAAAATAAGAATGATTTTTTATATAAAAATAAGAATCTTAGTTATATCGGATATATATTATAATATATAGTTTATAGTATGATATATTAAGAAATGATTTAAGAAAATCGTTATTTATTATATATCGTTATATCATTATATGGATTATCTAATGCAATTTTTCTAAAAGAAATATAAATTATAAATATTCGCATTAGAAACATAATCGTAATAATTTAAAATTAAAAAATTATAATTATAAAATTTTATAATTAAATTATAAAATTTAATTATAAAATTAAATCTATAATATATATAATATATATTATAGATATAATTATATATAATAATTTAAAATTATCATTTCTAAAAATATAAATATATTTGATAATTCGAAATACTGCAAAAAAATATCGTATATGTAGATTTTATATATTTAATAAATATTTATTCATGTTTATTAGATATTTATTTGCTAAATTTTTGTATAAAAAAATAAAAATATTTTTAAATGATATGAAATTTTATCAATTTAATTAATAATCATTATATAAATAAAGAAATAAAATTGTATAAATACTTTTCATATACTATATATTTTATATATACATACATAGATATTAATAAATACATACTTTTTCTCTTTATGATAATTTTCAAATCATAAATATATATTTTGAAATAAATAATATAAAAATCACTATAAATTACAAGAATATTCGTATTCATATTGACAAATTTTAATTTAAATTTAATTATTGTTAAATTAAAATTAAATTGTTAATTAAATTTTTTCTTAATGGCCTAAACTAACATAGTGCATTTCAAATGTTGCAGGCCGGCACAAAGTTATGTAAACATCAAGAGCAGCAGTCCTGTGTCTCCAAGAACGATAGGAGCAGGAGTGACGTATGTGCAGGGTGGTGCGGCTGCATCTTCAGCGGCGGCGGCGGGAACAACCGGAAGTGGAAGTGGCGGAGGTCCTTCAATCGGAGGAGGCGGTGGCGGTAGCGCAGGAGGTGGCGGTGGTATCAACAACGCTGGTGGCGCGAATAGTGGAACCGGAGTCGTTGGGACTGGAGCTGGTGCCGGTGCCGTTGGAAACGTAGCATCAGTTGGAAATGGTAACAACAACGGTACCAATAACAGTGCCGGTGCGGGGAGCAACAGTGGTGGAAACGGTGGTACAGTGGGTAGTGCACCAGGGGGTTATGTTGCTGTTCCCATGGCTGGTGGTCTGCGGTACATCCATCCGTATCCATCGACGCCAACGTCGGCATCGGTGCCGGCTGTAGCGACAATGGTTACCTCAGCCTCGTCGGCACCGACTCCAGTGCCAGTTCCAGCACCCGCAGCTGCGCCTGTCAATCCACCTACAGTTAGTCAAACGCCACCACCATCGCTTTCGGGAACTGCTTATGCCGCGAGAGATGCATATCGCAGCGCCACCACGAATGTAGGTATTTTTCTCTTCGATTTATCCCATGATAAATCGTCGCACCCTCATCTTGTACTCTCTTTTGCTTTCATTTCATAAGAATCGTAAATAGAAAAATACAAAGCATCATATAGAAAATATTCGTACAAAAATTTAAAATGAAACTTTATATATAATATTAAATATTTACTTTATTTTCATAATTTTTTATTTCTTGAACGAATACTTTCTACGCGTTTATTTTTGCATATTTTTCTATTTTTGTTGATATTTTTATAAATATTAAGAACGAGTATAATGAGTTCTTTAAACATCCAAGAACATTTATTAATGAATTCTTTTTCTTTTTTGTTAAAATTTATTATAAATATAGATATATAAAATTTTATTTTAAAATGATCGCTATAAAAATATTTTTCATACCGATTGTATATTGCAGAGAAAGTTAATTTAATACATATACATATGAATAGCCAGTATTTGTAAATGTATATTATATAGTACTCTTTTGTAGTTAATCGAATATTTGGTACGCGTTATATTGTATGTAGAAACGTGTATATTATATGTGTTCTGCCCTTGACTTTCAACTACTATTAGCCCTCTCCCGTTCTCTTTTCACATCATAATATAATCTACTTTCTCTATTGCAAACCTTGTACAATTTTGAATTAATTTTACTACGATATCAAAATTCAGGAATTTGATGAGATAGTTTTTTAAATAATTCTATTAAAAATTTTGTTTTATTTATTTTTAACAGTAGAATTATTTTTAACAGTAGAATTATTTTTAACAATTTAATCCGAATATTAGAGATATGTATTGTGTAACAAATATTTATATTGTTATATAATTTCTAATTTAATTTGAAGTTCGATTTTTTAATTGATGAAATTATATTTTGAAAATATATAGTAGTATAAAAATACATAATGAAATCTATTAGAAAAAACAGATTATTTACTTAACATACTTTTTACCACTTTTATGATATAAAGAAAGATAATTTCAAGAGAAGTGATAAAATGATTTTCAAATTTGAAAATTTTTATTTATTATTTCTGATGATTTAATTTATTTACATATTCAATTAATAATATATTGTATCAATTATCTTTTTTGAAGTGAATAATATTCAACGTTATATATATATATATTGTTAAGTAAAATATGATAAACGGCAGTCAGTAAGAAGTCATATATGTTATCTGTTTGGGTGTAAGATTATGATCTTAAGATGCAATGTAAGCAAGACGAGTAGTAGAGAGCGAGAGAAAGAAAGATGAAAAAACTAAAAGCAAGTTTTATTCATAATACGAGTGCAAGGAACGTATGACGGTTGTAAGTATATAGATAGTCTACCGTCTGCCCTCTTGAACCGGGTCATCGATTTTCTTGAAATAGGTTTACAAGAGAAGGTTAGGCAAGATAAATTGAATAAAACGCACTACGAAAAAAGCATTAGAACACATAAACATATTTATAAATATATTTGAATCAAACAAGATGAGGATAAAAATAGAATAGAGAAATGCACACATAAAATGAATCTAAAAAGAAAGGATAGATTTTTATTGTAGTATCTTTTAGGTGAACGAGAGGATTGCCATCAGCGTGAGCAGTAGTCCTTTGTCGCAGATTGGAGTCGATGTTGGAGTAGTTGCAGCCGAATATGCGGCAAATAGTGGTATAAGTAGTGGAAGAGGAGAGAGACCGAGGATATCTCTTTTACCACCTGCTTCGGTAACGCCGACACCTTCACCAACAGCACCAGGCTATCAACATAACATGTCTGGAGTTAGAAATTCACGAATAGCCCTGATGCCCGTCCAGCCGGATCAGTATTGCAATCGTACAGCCGTTGAAATGGCTAATCTGCAGGAGGCGCCGCCCTTCAAGAAAATACGCCTCAGTCAACCGACCCAGATTCAATTGCAGTCCCAAACGCAATCTCGTTGTCATAGTTTGTCACCCGCTGATCCGTGTGTTAAGCAGGAGCACGTGGTGCAGTTGCAGCAACCGCTTAGGATAGATACTAGGGTGGGTACATAGGTACACGCGTACAGAAGATGATTCAGAATAAATATGACATCTGACAAATTGTTTTGAAATAATTTTGAAAAAAATAATTGTTTGAAAAAAAGTTATCATATGAATATGAATTTTATTATTGGCAACAGAACTATTATTAATTTTATTATTGGCAATGGAAGTATTTAACATTAATTATTGCGTTACATACTTACTTATGTCAATAATTTTTATGTTTTTAAACTTTGAGAAAAATAATAATAATATATTTAAGCAATAAGCAATAATTTAATTTTGAATTAAATTTTATTAAGTATATATATTTAAACCAAATGCATATATACTTGTATTGAAATTAATAAAGATTTTTATTATTCATGATTTTAATATTAGTTTGATACAGTGTTATATGAAAAATTTTTGCTAGGAGCAGCCGGCAACAGAAGCGTATACACCGCAAACTGAAGCCATTTCGCCTACGCTTCCGGAACCAAACACACAAGAAGATGCACAGTTCAGAAGCACGAAAGATGATCTTCTGCAACAAATTTCTAAGGTTGATAGGGAGATTGCAAAAAGGGAATCTCAGATAAATAAGCTTCGGAAAAAATTAAAAGAATTGGAAGAAGCGGCTAATAAACCTCTGGAAGCTAGCGGTCTTAAACGGCAAGTTGAGGAACAGTCTCAGCAACCAAAGCATCAATCTCTGGCACAAAAAATTTATGCTGAAAATAGGGTAAAATCTTATAAATTTTATATTTAATTTAAATTAACTATACATAACTTATATAAATTATACATAACTTATATATTGTATCAAATTAACTTATTAATTGAGAAAAATGAGTTAATTTATTACCGGATATGACTTCAGGATATTGAATAAAATAGAATGATTCATCATAAATTTATAAGTAATATATTTAAAGAAAAAATGGATAATTTGTTTTTTACTGAATACATTTTTAATTTAGAAATGACTTAGATAAAATAAGTCTCAGTAATTTATTTAACTTAATCTTAATTGATTTAACTTAATTTTTATTAAATTAATCTTTTTGTGTTTTAATTTTTATATACTTTCGTTTGTTGTTATCTCTTGACTTTTAATGACTTTTTGATTGCTGATAATATTATAATTTTTCAATGTATGTATGATGCGTCATGAGTATTAGATAAACATTTTAAATTATACGCGATCTTGGATTAAGATTGAGACTTAAGAAAAGTTGATTTTATAAATTATAATACAGATTTTTTTATTGCGTGATTTAATAACTTATATGTTAATTACAGAGAAAAGCAGAAGAAGCTCATAGACTTCTAGAAAGGCTGGGTCCAAAAGTGGAATTACCTTTGTACAATCAGCCATCAGATACAAGTGTGTATCAAGAAAATCGAACAAAACATCAAACGTGTATGAGAGCAAGGCTTATAGCGAGGCTTCGACGAGAACACGCTGAACGTGCATCTCTTCATCGACAACAGTCACAAACGTACGCTATTTTGGTACAGGAGTGGCATCGTAAAGTAGAGCGATTGGAAGCAACGCAGAAAAGGAAATCGAAGGAAGCGAAGAATCGCGAATTTTTTGAAAAAGTATTTCCAGAGTTACGAAAACAAAGAGAAGATAAAGAACGTTTTAATAGAGTTGGTGCTCGTATCAAGAGTGAAGCTGATTTAGAAGAAATTATGGATGGCCTTCAAGAACAAGAGGTATATCGTTTTTTTTAATGATAACATCGACATTTTATAATGCAAAACTAATTATATGAGAGACTAAAAAAAGAAAATCAAAGAGAAGTTCATAAGAGTTATTAGAGGAGTTGAGGAAAAAATTAAAAAAATCAATATTACTATAAAAATGATTTAGATATTATATATATTATATATTTAATTATAAAAAAGGTGCATATTAAATATTATAAATTATTAAAATAGCTTAGTTATAATAAATTTTCAAGAATTTCAATGATTTTTATAATATTTTAATTTGGATTTGACATTTTTGAAATAATCTTCCAATATTAATTGAAAGTGATCAATAATTATATTCGTGGACAGTAATTATGATTTACAACTTCACATCAATCTACATCATCTAAGAAATACATATCTAAAATTTATTCGAATATTTCGAATATTCAACACAATTAGTAATTGTAACTATAATATCCTACTTTTTTAAATTATTTTTCCAGATGGAAGATAAAAAGATGCGTTCATACGCAGTCATACCTCCATTATTATTGGATACGAAGCAGAGACGAATCGCGTTTCAAAATCGTAATGGTCTTCTTCAGCCAGAAGAATTAGAAGCTCTTCATAGTGAACGAAAGTTAATCAATGTATGGAGTTCTGTAGAGCACGAATTGTTTAAAGAAAAATATTTACAACATCCTAAGAACTTTGGAACGATAGCTCAATCTTTAGAACATAAGTCCGTTCCAGATTGTGTGCATCATTACTACCTCACTAAAAAAGCAGAAAACTATAAGCAGCTCTTGAGAAAGTCGCGGCAACGAACACGTTCTCGAAACAATCCTAATAATAAAGTAAGTTCAATTACAACTATTTTCTACTTGCTATTTTAAATTAAGAAATACTTGTGTATAAAATTTAAAAGATTTTGTTTTTTTGCTATATAATATTAATTATGCGTTCTCTTACGAACATGTAGTTATTGCAATTGTAGACAGATATAAAATTATAACATTAACTTTTATATTGTTTTTTTTTTCAGGTAAATAATACCAGTTCAAGTATTGGAACTTTAGATATTTTAACTACGGGTGTTACGACAAGGTTGCAACGTGAGCAACAGCAGAAGACGCAAGAAAATCCTCAAAATAGTTCGGCAGCGACATCAACTACAACGACGACGACGACTACGACAACATCGAGTGTATCAACGGCTGTTGCGACAACAATAGTCACCACTTCGACGACTCCTTTAAGTTCATCAACGTCGAGTATATGTTTAACGACAGACTCTGTAATAGCATCAACGACAGCTACAACGACATCTGTGTTGAGTACTACGACATCGTCAGTCACGACGTCATCGACGATAACAAATGCGAAGGATAATAGAGAAACCAATAAAGAAAACAAAGAAAGTAAAATAGAATCGAAAGAATCGCATCTTATCAAAGTGGAAGTGAAAGAAGAGCCACAATTAAGTTCGGAAACGGTATCAGGAAAGGACATCAAAATGTACGTAATATATTTTTTCTATTAATTATAAATATTTTTAATTAAATTTGTAGAAAATTCTAAAGGTATATTTCATGGGAACTTATAGAAAAATTTAGTATTTTATAGTATTATATATATATTTTATATATATATATATATATATATTTATAGTAGTATATATATTTTATTAGTTTTTAAATAAATTCATAATAATTTTATTCACAAGGACTTTATAAACTTTTTACGAGTAGTAAAATTATAATTCGAATATATAGCCATTTTATATATATAAATATGATATATAAAAGCAATGCTAATTATTTATTATATTATGGAAAAATTGAGGATAAATTAATAAAATTGTGCAAAATTATTTGAAAAATATTACTATTTATAGAAGTACAATGTTAATTATTATCAGATATAATTTTAATGATATTTGTAATTTAACTTTTTTACAATTTAAACAATTTTTAATTTATAATGAATGAAAACATTAATTTTCTGGTTAAATAAAACTTTAAAAAAGTCTAATAAAAAAAAATAAAAACTAATTTTATTTAAAAATGTTAATTTTTCTTTTGTATATTAGTTTTGTATATTAAATTGTTGCATATTTATAATTATATGTAATAATTATTATTTCTAAAATTAGATGTTTAAACAGAAGTATTGTTTTTCAAGAAAAAGATATATATTTTTTTAATAATAAGGTAACAATAATAACGCATTATAATTTATACATCATAGATGATTTTAATAATTTTGCACAAATTTATAAAATTGAAAACCGTAATTTTTAATTTTTTTTGTTTATAATATAAAATATCCAAAATTATTTATAGAAAAAAAGAGCAAATGGAGTTAAAAACATTTTAATTTTTAATAAATTATTAATAAAGCAATTTCAATAATGATTTATTTTTACAATATTTTTTATAATATTATTTAATAATTATATTTTTGACATTAGTATTAATATATAAAAATAGAACTTTAATATAATTTTTTTTCTATAATAAAAAGGAATTAATTGATTTTCTTTCGTAATATAATAAGAGTTACATTTGGTTTTCTGTTCAGACTAACTAGAATTTTGGACGCAAACTATTTTAGTTATAAATTTATACGCAGAATCGGTCATCGGATTAAATAACTGTTTCTATTTCTACTTCAGTTAAAAGTTTGGGTACTATAAGTCTCAAAATAGAATTTCATATTGATCAAATGATCAACTAGTTATATTTCTATTTTATTGTTTTAAAATATAATGTTATATAAAAATTATATTAATGACTATAAAAAATAAAAATGGTTTCCTAATAAAATAATATATTATAAATATATATTACATGTTGTAGAGCATCACATAATCATCATTAGTAACTTAAATTAATTGTTTAAAATAATTAATTTTTTCATAAATGCATTACATATAATTCTTCATGTATAAATCTGTATAATCTTGTTAAAAATTTTTTTTTTAATATATCAAAAAATTTTAAATTTTTTCCAGATTTTTATTTTTTACATAAAATTGTCGAATTGAAAGGAATATAAAGGGATAAAGTCATTTTAAAAATTGCAATTGACATAAAAGCATACAGTTCGATTACTTGAATGAGCTTCATTTTACTAATGATATTCATCGAGCAAACAAATCAGTTTTACGATCAATTCTAATTATTACTACATTTAAAAAATATTAAAAAATATTCCAAGAGATTATTCGTTCGAATTCAGATTAAAAATTACTCATTCAAAAACTTATTAAACTATCAATATAAGAAAAGTCTTTTTACTTTTAAATAATAAATAAATTAAAATTGATAAATATAATTTTGATTAATAACAAAGATAAGAAATTGTATATAGAACGCTTATGCATAAATTTAATTTAACATACTATATCAAATTTTTATAGTTATATTTTCAGATTAATATAACAAAACTATTAATAGACAAGAGATAGATCAAATAAATATAAAGCTTTAATTTTTTTTTTTTAGATAAATATTTTTACAATAATTTAATAACCTTTTTTTAATTTAACTTTTTTACAATTTAAACAATTTTTAATTTATAATGAATGAATAGAAGAGAAAAAAAGTAATAAGAATAAATTATTGAAGCGTGGAGAGAAGGATGGAAGGAGTGGGGGGATGAATGGAAAGCAGATGGGGGAAATAGAAGGTAAAATGGAGGTTCGAGAGGGAAGACAGGGTAGTTATTAGCAGATTGTAATGCTAATCAATGGTTACTGGTTAGTGGATTATGTTTACGTAGGCATTCATCATCGAAATGGAGTCGATCGTTGAAAATCTGATTCCGAATCGTGCGAAGATTGGAACGAGGGACTCCCCTCGTTCGTTTAGGAATGACGTATAGAACGTTTTATTAATTTTCTCAAAATTGTATTCACAATTTGGACAAAAATTTTTTTTTCTTCTTTTTTCTTTTAATTTTATTTAACTAGGGACAGAATTTTTCGAATTTTTCACCACGCATGACGAAAAGAGAACAAAATTAAACTATAACTGTATTAAATTTTTTAACAAAATGGAAAATTTTTAATTAATATTTTCTTTTTCTAAATTTTTAATTAATAATTTTCTTAATTTCAATTGTATCATTGGTTTATTTATACATTGGTTAATTTTTTCTTTCATATTATATTATATTATTTTCTTGATGAATGATAATTTGCATGAATTATTTTTACAATTTTGAATAAATTCAAACAATTTTAATTAATAAAATTTAATGAAAACGATTCAATAATTAAACAAAGTTCTATCAAATGATAAGAAGATTAATTGTTAAGTAGTAGATTTATCGTTATAAAATAGATAGAACGGATTGTTAAATTTAAAGAGTAATAAGAGAAGAAAAAAAAAAATCATGTTACAGGGAGACGAACAACGTCAGTGGTGGTAGCGTGGTAACTACGAACAGGATGAAGGAAAAGAAAAAAGATAATCACGCCACCCCTATGGAAACCAGCGACGAGGAAGCCCAATCGATGGACACCATTGGTGAGTTTTTTTTAAACAAATTTTACTAATTTGCTTTATTTACATTTCGCGATTTTATCATGGACAGTTTGATAAGCGATATAATTTATTTTCTATAGTATATTTGATAAAATTTGTTTTTATTTTTTTCTTTCCTTTTTTTTTTCACGATTGAGAAAAATTTTATTTAATAAAAAGTGACATTACATTTTTCTTCTCATTTTTTTAAATGAATCGAGACAAATTTGTATAATGGACATCTCGTGCAATATAAATTGAAGAACCGGAGTAGATATATTCGTTTTAATTAATTAATTAATCAATTTAGAACAAGTTTCGACATTTTGTATTTTATATATATTTCTTATCTTTTTTTTTTTTTATTTATTTTTAATCGGTTATATTATGATTTGAATAGAAATGAATTTATTTCATCACAATCATCATTTCATCTTATATCTATTTTTTTTAACGAAGTTAAAGTAGAGATAAATTTTCGGTTAAGAAAAATTCATCCACGTATTTTAAAGGTATAAAAATAGGGGAAATCGACAAATTCAATTTTGATACAGTTGTAAAATGGAAAAAGTTTTATTTAATCTAAAGCACGGCCGTGATAATATTAATCGAACTCGCGATAGAGGAGGGTTGAAATTGTGTCGAGTGGAACGATTTAAAATTTCAAAGAGGGTTGAATAAAAGGTAAAGGTGGAATTTGTAATAAGTTTGAATAGAATTAATCCGACGATTGATCGAAAGAAGTTCGAATTTTTATATTTAAGCATGAAACGCGTATTTTATACATATTCATTTATTTTTTAATTATTCGTATTTACAATTTTTTGAATTTTTGATTATTAACATGCATCATTGACTCATGTTTTTAATGGCGATTTTATTGACCGCATCATTTGTAATATTATTATTAAAACACAGTTAATTATATTAATTGGTTAAAAATTTAATATTGTTATTTTATTGTTATTTTATTACAAAAAACTTGCACGAAAATTTATAATGCAATTATATTTAATTACAAATAGAATTTTTGTTCGTAATTCAATATTGCATAATACGGTGAAATAACAAATATTAATTTATAATTATTTTTTATTCAACTATTCTCGATGTAAGGTATTTAAGATTTTTAACTTAGAAGATTAACTTTTAATTTTGAAATAAATCATCGTCTCTACGTATCATCGAAATTTTAATGTCGCTAATTCTTCTTATTCATATAATTAATTTCTAAAGTATTTCAAGTTGCATTCAGTTATATCGTAAATATTTTCGTTATTTAAATTTCTTTAGAATAAATGCGAGCTTCTCGTTTTTTGATAGTACTGAAACAAATATTGTAAATAATCAATTATCTCTTTTCTTTTATATATTATTATTAATTATTACATATATGTAATACATTATAATACAATTAAATAATTTTTAACGTGTTAACAATCGGTTTAATTTTAAAATCAAAAATTAAGATTTCAAATATTTACATACATATATACATAATAATTGAGTTAATGAAATTTATTTTAATTGTTCTTCATTGATTACTGATATTATTGACATTATTTGATTTTGTCTATTACTATTTTTTAATTTACTTACTTTATTTATATCTTCGCTTATTGAACACCAAGAATTTTTACTTTTTTTAAAAATGTTCATCATAAGAAATTCTCTTACTTAGATAAGAATAAATTTTAGTCAATTGACGATACGTCGATATCATCTAACTTCATTTATTTATTTCTATTTTGATTTGCAATTAATATTACTAATCTGATTAACCTCTATAAAACATAAAGGATCTATTTTCTCATTGGGATACCTTCTTAATTAATCCATAATACTATCGTTTATTATCTTTTATTATATTTAAAATTACATTTAAATATTTTACCATTTACTTCTATAAAGCACAAAGAATCTAAAGAATTATTTTTTTAAACAAACGTTATCATCTTAATATCGTTCATTTTCATTTATTCATTTCCATCTTTCCATTTCATTCAATATAACTAAACACATTATTATTAATAACTTCTGCACAATAATTCTGTTCAATCGTCCGTTAAATTTATCTTCTTCTCTTTCAACTAAATCATACACAAACCTCCTCTCACTGTCTTTCGTTATTCGTAGTCGAAGTAGTCGACTCCTGATCCTCCGTTACCGTACTATTGGCCTCGTCCGACTGCGCCCTCTCCTCTGTGTTCGCGTGGCACAATTTCCTATGTTTGTGCACGAAATAATAACTCGGGAACTTGCATCCGCAAATCTTGCAAGGATAATATTGCACGTTCAAGTCCAATAGTCTTACTTCTCTCCTGTTCCTAGTACCGGTATCTTGCTGTCTCTGCCTGTTACCGATCGACTCGTTCACTCTGGTCGGTAACAAATGCCTCTTTGTGTGCTTCCTGTAACAATACTGCGACTTGAACGTGTGCCTGCAGTATCCGCAAGTATAACTTCCGCCATTGCCCGTATCCATCCCAGCCTCGATCGCGTCGCATGGGCCTCCCCCCCCTGGTCCACCGTTCTCGTCGTTCTCCCCGTTCTCCCCGGAACCGTCATTCTCCTCGAAACACGGTCTCTGCAAACGAGATTGTGGCATCGCGCTAGATCCACACGAGGACGATGAGTAATTCTCGTTCAATACACGATGAAACTTCACTGGACCGTCGCAACACGCCACGTCATAAACTACCGATAAAACGTTCGACGAATTATCGTTTCCGGTCGAGCCGCGCCCCCTTCGCCTTGATCTTCCTCTGTCATTCTCTGACGACACTGGCTCTGTGTTTCTGTTGTTACGAGCCGCGGTCGAGTCGTCCACAGGCGTTAGAGGGGGCGAGGATCGGGCATCGTTCGTTCGGTTGTTGCTCGAGTTGGTGGCGGGATGTTCGTAGTCGGCTTCTTCCTTCATCTCTCGTTGATGGTCGATCGGTTTCTTGTGACATGGAGGCACCGATGATCGTGAAGTGGACGATGGTGTGGGAGAGATCGATTGGCAGGGAGATGATGTCCTTGTGGATGTGGCTGCGTTCGACGTAGTGAACGCGTTGAACGCGGCTGCTGCCGCGGCCACGAACGGGAGAGTGCTCGACGACACATTCTCTGGCGATTTTGGCCTCGACTCCACTCTTAACCCGCGATTTCGTTCAATTTGGAACAACGATGATTTTGGCGATGGCACGTCCCTGTTAGCAGAAATTGTTATATTTCAAAGTGAGAAAAATCACTTTTTTTAATACTTTTTTATACTTTTCATTTATAAACAGAATTTAGAAAGCCATTGACATCCAAATGAAATCTCAATTACGTTTCAAAATCATTATACGTGCACTGTTTGTCCACGAGAATATCTCTATTTGTGATCGTCAAAATGTTCTCGTGGATGAACAGTGTGCATGTTCGAAAAAAATGACGATCCAAACCTATAAACTGTCGTGTGCGTTTGTTGTACACTGGAGGACGGAACGGCGGAGACGCCAAGCGGGACGGTGGATTGCATGAGGACCGACGGTTGTAGTTGGGACAAATGCGGTATACCGATACTGGCGGATGGCGGTGCACTCGGTGGGTATAGAGGAGCGGTCGGTGGCCAGCATATGGTCGGATCTATCATCAATCTGCTTGGTATCGGTCTAAGTATATTGCCGGTGGGTGGCGTGGACGTCAACGTGGATGTCGGTCCAGCCGGAACTGGGATCGGCGTTGGCAATGGCGGAGGTGCTCTCAGCCTGAGCAACGCTGCTCTGCATTGTTCTAGTGCCCCTGGCATATGCAACAAATGCGTGGCCAATAAGACGCTGTACACGTTGTCCAACGTCACTTCCAACCGGCCTGTGTACATGTAGTTGAGCAATGGCGCGAACGCTTCTCCACCTGTAAGTTTGGATTCGTTTGTTTGTTTATTTTTTTGCGAATATTTTTCAAAGTTTTTTTTAACTTTCGCTAAGTTACATCACGTTTACTTTTGATATTGTATTGGCGATACTTTATTTGTTTATATTCGTTTATTCCAAAGAAACTTTTAATCTATTTACAAACAAACATAGGTATTCGAAAAATGCAATATATTTGACGATAACACGGGGAAGAAAAATAATATCGCGCATATTAGATATAACATTCTCTTTTTAATCATTGAATTTTAAAATTAAACTTCATTTTGCTTTTTTCATTATTCATCATCATCAAAATTAAACAAAATATAATTCTTTCCAACAAACTCGAGAGACCAATCGGAATACCAATAATTCACATAACGATATTTACCAATAGATGAAACCGAGACAGATGTGACTGGCTGCCTCGTTGATTGTCCCGACAAATTGTTACCGGTTACATTCGAGTTAATATTCGCGCTCACGCCCGAATTAGGTGTCGTCGTCGCGTTCGTGAGCAAAGCTTTCAGATAACCGCTGTGAGCGGCCAAGACACCTTTGTGGGCGACAAACTGGTGCTCGCCCTCGTTCCCGACTCTCACCACCGTGTCGGGTGGCGACAAGCTTTCTTGAAGCCGCGAATAATTGTCCGCTGTAACGGTATCGCCGAACCAAGCTCTGTACAGGCTGTACATCGTAACCAGACTCGAATCGTTCCAATTTATTAATTCTTATTGTTGGTGTCCGGTTCTATCATTTCAATGTTTCGAACGATTAGAAAGAGGAATATGTTGTTATATAAGTCACGATTCACGAACATAGCGTTTTCGTCGGAGGCAAAGTGTATCCCGTTCCATCTTTCTTGGTGTCATTGTTGGCTGAGGATGAGGTGACGGAAAGGTCGAGACAGAGTGAAATAGAATACTCTCACGGCTCATTAAAACGTCAATTGTAAACAAACAGAACTGGAAGGTTACTCGAACGAAACTTCATCGTTCTCTTTCTTTTCTGATGGAATAGAATGAGAAATATTTTGCCTAGGCATCTTATGGCGAACGCACTGTAATATGGTATAAATGATTCACAAATTTAAATAATTCGAATAGTCACTTCGTATTTACATAATCCTTTGATAAAATCGATTATCACATGTCACACATTTCAATCTCAAAAAGATCACGGGTAATAAGACTCTCTTCTCAAAATCACCCTTAAATCAATTTTCCAACCACCCGTAATGAATGATCACCATTCGTACGTGTTTCACGTTTATACGAAATGAAACCAGAGGAATATTCTATTTTCCCTCTGCAGATAAACGCGGAAATCTAAGGGGGTGACCATCGTGCGTCGCGATTGCCCGTGATTTGAACGCCGGGAGTCGGTTCCTGGTAGCGACACGCGCCTCACCACCGTCGCATCGCTTCTTTTTTCCACCAGTTCCTACCGCCCTTTCCTCCTCCAGACAGCCGCTAACCAGCCAGTCCCTGTGCAGCACACCCCAACCCCCGTACGCCGGAGAACCGCCCCCAAAGAGCCGAGATTGGCGGTAGTGGCTCGATTACTGGCAGAGTTGCACGTGCGCCTCGTATATTTACCGTGTCGACGATTGTACCGAGCCTCTTTCTTCCGTCTTTCCCCTACCTGCTGTATATCTCCTCCACTTCCACCTTTCCTCTTTTCCTATTGCGATGGTCTGGTGTGTCGCGAGTGGACGGATGGGTGGTTTCTTTTTTTTTTTTTTTTTTTTTTTTAATCGGCCTAGTGACGAGATCGAGCGTATCGCGAGCAAGATTGAACGTTTGGTAGATTCTTTGGAAAATATCGGGTCTTTTGTCCATTTTTTTAACGGGAATATCGAGGTGGATTTATAAAGTGAAATCTTTTTTTTTTTTTTTTTTTTAGAAATTTGCCTTATTTGTAGAATAATTTATGGACCTCTTGTTTATAGAAAAAAATATTCTCTCAAAGATTCGCACGTATTGTTTGAATTCAAAAATATCAAAATTTTTGTTTTTTTTATAACTCAAAAACTAAAGTCAACCATATTTATATGTATATAAACATTGCTTTTAATGATATATTCCAAAGTTATTCCAAGTTAAGAGAAAGATTGATCAATGTATATTTTTCTTGAATATGGTATAGTTATAACAATTATCGAAGAGAAGGAACGAGAGGAAAGGGAAATAATGAACGAAAAGAGAATTTTTCTTTTCTTTCTTCTCTGTTTCTTTTAATTTTCTGCTAGATGTAGTGCAGCTAATTGATATGTAGTTGAAATTGGAAGGGAGAACGAAAGAAATAACAACGAGGAGAAAGAAAGACAGAGAGGTTAATTGGTGAGAGGGAAAGAGAAGGAAGGATCGCGGATTCGATTCACGCGAAATATGGTGGAAGCTTTGTTTTTTCTTTTTGCCGCCATTCCTCCCCCCCTACACGTGGGGAGCGGTGACCGACGTATCTCTGATGATGTAAAAAGGATGAAAGCAAGTCGAAATCGAATTGTTGATTCAATCAGTCCTACGAATATCGATGTGGTTATTTTTTCGTTGTTACGAGGGCGGTGATTTTTGACGGATGAGTTAATACGTTACTACTGTAAATTATCGAGATTCGAGTTAGATGCTTGTTAATATAATATACAAAATTTAAATCAATCCTTTTTCACGAGTTGGAGATATCCTAAATTATCCTGAAGTTATAATTCGAATGAAGATCATCTCAAGTTTAATATTACTTTGAACGAAGTATTTTGAATTCTCTTTTTGCATGATATATATATATAAAGTTAAAGATCTAAAGTTTTTTTGCATCCGCTCTTTCGAATAATATGAATCAAGTACTTTTAATTAAGAAAAAGATCAGAGGGAGGGGAAAGAAGAAAAATTATTAAACAATCTCGAAAATTGAAAGATAGGGAACGATCGAGAGAATTAATGCTACGCAATTAGTTCGATTAAAAAAAAAATAGAATTAGTCAAAAAAAAAAAAAAAGAATGGTCATTTATGAACGATAAATTTATAGAAAATTGTTAAATTAAAAAGAAGACGACTGGTTAAGAAATCAAACAAATCAAATAGACGGTGAAACAAGATAAAACGAAGGAGAAACAAAAAAGAAAAAAAAAATTCGTTCCTCCTCCATTCAAAATGAAACACCTGATCCCTCACTCTCCCGCGAAATTCCCCTCTTTATCAAATCAAACACCGTTCAAAAAATTACCAAAACACGCTCGACGAGGACAAGGAAGGCAAACAAGAAGGAGGAATATAAATATAGAATTAAAAAAAAAAAAAAAAAAAACGAGAGGAAGGGTGGTGACCACCGGTGGTTTATCACGGCCCTCACGAATGATTAGAGCGGGCTCCCCGTCTCGATAGATGAAGTCGAAAAGCTGGATGAAGAGGCTTGTGTTCCTCCTCGAGGAGAGAGGATCTCTTTCCGGGATGCGTCTTTTGCCTGTTTCCTCTTTTCTCTGCCTATTTCTCTCTGATTCAACCCCCTCTTGTTCCCTCCACCATGGCTACTCTCTGATGTTTTTCATCAAATTAACTCTCGCGGTACGAGGTACTCTTTCTCCACGGTGTTTGCATAATATCGTTTATAATTCAGGTTGCGCTGAATTCCACTTTATTCTGGCTGGTGGCCCGTATACGTACAGGTCGCTCGTTTGCTCGCTCTCTTCGCTTTTTCGACCCTCGCCCACTCTTCTTCCCTCTCGATCGAACTGTCTTGCTCTTTCTTCCCGTGGTGTCCCGCGGTTCCATCCCGTGCACAGACCTTCGTTGTTATTCGTTCGTGAATTCGAAACGAAGGGAAAGAAATATATGGCAGAAGGGGTGTTGTCGTATTCATGGTACGAAACGAGACACTTGCGAGATAAATTTAGTAATTATCGATGTCGATGAATGTTGAATCTATTAGGTTATTATATATGAAATATTTGTAGTAATATACAAACTTTGGTTATACGAATCTAATTGTTTCTGTGAATGGTATGAATAATTCTGAAATTGTTTAACAAGTATATATATATATATATATATTATTTAAAATTACAATATTAATTTTATCAAAAATATTTTCGTGTTTTTAAATAAATCATAAAATATAAGATTCGTCATATTTTGATTTGTCACGGGTTTGGTCGTTCTAATGTTAATTTATTCTACTTATATTTTCCTATTTTAAAATACTGCGTGAAAAGAGTGATTGAAATCTATAATATGAAGTATCAATCTCATCCAGAGAATCTAAAGTAATTTTATTTATTTGCGACCTATAACTTGATCATACGTATATAAAGTTTACATTTTATAAAACATAAAAATATAAAAGTTGATGGGAAAATTTCGAGTCACCGTGTATTATTTTCTTTTTTTTTCGTTCTCTTGCCGTATTGGAAAATTTACGTCTCTTTTTCGTTCGAAGGGAGAACGATCTGTGTAACGGGAAAAGTGTATGTATACGGTAAACATTAGAATATATTTTCATATCGTGGAAAGATTTTTTTTTTCTTCAATAGCAGTATTTCATGATTTTTCTGGAAAGGAACTCGAGGTTTTATATTATTGATTTTACGATTTCGAATCGATAGAATTGATATTATTCTTCGAATTGTGTAGACATAAAAATGAAGATTAAATAAGACTCTGGATAAATATTATTTATTTTTCTTATATTATAAAATTTAAATTCGAGAAATTTCTTCTCGAATAAAAAAAAATCGATTAAAAGAAAAATAATAATTCAATTTCAATCAGAGATAAATATTTTTACAATTAAAACAATTATAAAAGAATTATTTAAAGATGATAGAAAAATATAATTTCATTCGAACAAAGATTTTCGTATTCTTCGTGATTTCTTCTCTAGCTATTAAACTTCCAATTCTATTTTTACCGATATAAAAACTCCTCTTTCATAAATAAAACTAGAGCTTTAATTCTATTCTTACAAATTTCCATTTCCATAAAAAAATTTATTCATCTTTAATTCTTTCTAATTTTCTTTAATTTATTATTGAATTATCCACCCTCTGAATCATCTTTCTTATTACCAATAAATTGAGCAATAAAAAAAGAACAAATTTTGTTTTTTAAACTCAAAAATTATGAAAAGTGAATTTTCGCTACAAGATCTTCGATTTCGAATCATTTTTCAAGATTAAAACAAATCGGGAATTTTGAAACACAAAGAGAGATAAATAATAAAAGATAAGAAGGAGGAGGAGAGTACAGTTGTTGAAGTTAATCGTGGGTCATCGTAACACGGTAGCGTGGAACAGGCTTGGTTCCGGGCAAGAATGCGTCGCCACCAATTCAGAGTGGGACATAGCGATTACGCACATTTCCCTAGAGGCCGCCAGCTTCAAACCGGAGTTAACAGACGCGGCTCCCCTCTGTCCCCCTTCGTTTCCTACCCTATTGTATCGTGATCGAAAGCAACAACTACTACCGTAATCGTCGTTTGCATAGCTATTAGTATCATTGTCGTGATTGTTGATAATAATAATACCGATTGCCTTAATGTCATCCCTCATATATCGCAATACCGTAAAATACTACCGTGTTCTAATGTTTAATTATTACATTATCGTCGAAATCGGAAATCTCTCGAGGTTATAAATTAGTAGAAGAAACAAATATTTTTGAAAGTTCAATTTCTTCTATAAAAAAAAATGAAACAAAG